CATTCAATTTGTAACTAATAATATCAATAGTATGAAAATCATTTTAATCCAATAAATTTAATCAATATATATAAATTTACAATTACCAAAAATATACTAAATTTCACTCTACCACATACTCCCTCCAGCCGGAAAATGACGTCTCGGCATTTCCTGCTAAGTAGAAGCATTGGCAGATGACTTCAAAATGTCCAGAATGGTTTGACCTGCCTCTGTCTGTAGATCATGAAATAAAGTTGTCTGGTCTGCAAAAGATTTCAGACACTGGATCTTCTTTTCCCAATCAGACATGGTGGTGATTGCAGACTTTGCCATATCGAATTCACCAGTGGTAAACCGGAGTGGTGGTCTCCGCTCTCTGGTTAAACGACGAATAGGAACCGGTTCATCTTCATCATCTGTATCCGTCTGAGAAATATCCTGTTCAAGTGTATCTTCTTGGACAATCTCATCTTGTGAAGCGCTTCTTTCATCTTCAGAAGTCAGGTCCTCATCAACACTAATAGTGTCTGCTGAAGATTGGGCGTCCCCTCCTGTCTCTGTATTCTGTAACTCATCAGTTTGAACGTTGGGTAATTTTTCAATGATGGTTGAATCACTGTCTCCTTGTTCATCTCTGATGACATATCCCCAGTTTGATTCCTTATCAGATGTTGTATCCTCAGAGTAGTCATTCTTGGTGGTCGGTTCCTTCTGTTTTTGTCTCCTCTTGGCAGGTGTTGGTCTTTTTCGGGTTGTCCTAGGAACAGATGTTGGTGTGTCACTTAAAAATCTTATAGGAAGGAGTAAGTTCCTGTGTAGAGTTCTTATTCTGCCTTCGCCATTCTCCTTCTTAACTGAAAATACTGGTATGTCGCTGTTCGGTTGACTGATGACATGATAAGGGTCATGCTCCCATCTGTCAGCCAACTTGTGTTTCCCTTCCTTGAAGGCAACTATCTTCACCAGCACTGTCTCCTGGTTTAATTGTACCACCTCTGACTTTCATGTTGTACGCCTTCTTTTGTTTGGTCCTTGCGTTATCTGCTGCTGCAGTGGCTAGTTCGTGAGCCTGAGTAATCCTGTGTCGCAACTCCTTGATGTATTTCGAGCTTGGTTCCTTCTCGTTCTCTCTTAAGCCAAATACTACGTCAATTGGCAATCTTGGATTTCTACCAAACATAAGCAGATAAGGTGTCTGTCCAGTGCTGTCATGACGCGTACAATTGTAGGCGTGAACCAATGGGGCAACATAATCTTTCCAAGCAGCTTTCTTGTCTGGTTCCAATGATCCTAACATTTCCAATAGTGTTCTATTGAACCGTTCACACATTCCCGGGGTATAAAATCCTTAGTATTTCAAAAAGTTCTAACGTTTGTAAACAGTTAATTTATAATTATGACCATATTAATGATAAGTCGTGTCAATACAGAAGCTAGTGCAGACTGCCTGACACATCAAATATGGCCGCGTATTCCCATCATTACCGCACTGCCTAAGACACTATCCTTGCTTCTAACTCCCCAAGTCAAAATTGACCTTAACTGAATTTGTTTATTCATTTGAGTCCCTTTTGTTCATAACGCGCCCAGAGTTTCTCCGTTTTTATATGTTTGAGTTTCAACGTTCCTGATAAAGCTTAACCCAGAAAAGCGTTTCGTACGGACGAAATTTATAAAGGGTGATTTTCATTTGCTGGTGGAGTAGTCATTCAACCACAGACGGAGGAATTTGAAATTTTTCCAATTCATAGCTGGTAGAGGGGTGAAACTATCATGAGTAGAATCAGGGCCAACTTCTTTTCATTGGGTACCCTCATTTGGGGAAGCAGTCCATCAAGTGCAGTTATTACAATGAATATCTAGTTTGAGATCAGAAATTTGATTAAAAATTACCAAAACCGAGAGCACATTTAAGATGGACACATTGCGTTTTAGTACCCCAACACAACTATGAATAAACCTTGGGATACTAGTAATAGAAACGCTTACGTCGAAAAAGGAAGATAAGAACATGACCAAAAGACAAATAAAATTAATCAACTACACAGAAAACAAAGGAGCAACACGAACTACCAAAAACCATATAGAACTCAGATGATGCTTTATGCAGTGAGCAGTTTCTGTACCATATTAACTCTTGTCACTATACTCCTTAGGCAGAAGATACCAATGGGTAAGAACAAATCATACAAATGTAAGTTGAGGAAAACAAACAACCCATGTTGTTCATGGCAGGCAAATAGTGATGTCACAATCGGCGATGTCATTATCGAGAAAAAAAAGACGGGATTGTGGTTACGATAATTGGAACATATCCGTGGTCATCTATGGCATATTTATTCCATAACTGTCGACCAAATTATGCTGGCACTCGTAAAACTTTCCAATAAATGATTCCATTACCAATAGGAATATTTGGTTCCGCGTAAGCAGCAATCCTCAATCACGGGAATCATGCTATGAAACACGTGCTCTGGAATATCGTATCATCTGGGAGCAATGCACTCCAGATACAGGAGCTGCTAAGTAACAAACCTTGATATATGTGTATACTTTAACAACTGCTTAGTCATAACATATGATACTAGTACATGTATTTTTCAGCAACTGCTAAGTCGTAACCTATGATACATTTACATTCTACAACAATTGCTAAGTCGTACGTGAAACATTTGATACATGTATATTTCCAAACCCTTGTTCGTGCCCGAATGTGAAAGTGTGAAAAACCATGTTTTTAATGAAAAACTAGCTGGTGCCATATTGAAACAGCAAAAAAAATCTAGGGTAAAACTTGTGCTCCTAAAAACTAAATAATTATGTTAGTGGCAATCGTCGTGTTTATCATTGCATGCTGAAATCCGGTGATTATACACTTTCGTTTTCGACGAAAGGAGTACGTGGTTATGTCTACGTCAATACTGGATCATACTCGTTTCATATTTTAAACAGATTACAATAACAAAATTATGATGGCGTGCGTAAAACCTTCGAAGAGGTGACAATTATTATCATTAAAAGCCATCGGTTGAGCAGCGACATTGTACGAAGCAACTGTCTTTTAGAAAAATCATGATAGGAAACACAACTCATGAAATATCGTATTGGTTGAGAGGTGTATTTTCATTCTTTGAACGGCAAAGGAATAACGGAAAGTTTGTCATTTTAGTGTAGGTTAGTTCACATTTGCCAACGACCTTACTTTTAATAAACGAAGCTTCACTTTTTTTTTAAATAATTCAGAACATGTTTAACTTACCAATTTAAACGTTAAAACACACCTTAGTGTACATTAAAATTGAAATTTTAACGTATCTAATGATTATCTATTGTGTGGCGCATCATTACCATTCTGACGATTTTTCTAAATATCAGTTCTTTTCTTAATCAGACGCTAGTATTAGCGATCTTTAATAACCACCAAATGACTTGTATTGAAAGTTGAACGATTTTGTTGGAGTTAATACAAGTATTCTTGTACCTTTACAATACCTTTTGAATATAATTCATCAACAACAGAAACCAAACCATTAAAAGTCTATCCAGTCTTCGTGGTCTAAGAATACTCATATTGTCAGTAAGTCTAAGTATTTTAATACTTTGGTCTTATTCTAGACCGATTCTTTCACTTCTTGCCAATTTAAGAGCCTTCGCACAATCCTGTCCTTGCTTCCTCGACTGTGACATTTTCGAATGCAACTTTTTTTACTTGCAATGTACAACGCGGGTGAAACTAGTGTAGTAATTTTGGCTAACCCTTCTGGCTTTTTTTTACACATCACACTTTGCACATATTTTGGTGGTGATGACGAGGGGAGTTTTTAACGACCTTGACTACCCATGAGTAGCGGTGGTGTTTTATGTCGGTTTTATGTCGGTTCAAATTAAAACTCTTTATCTTGTTGACGTTGATGAGTTCTGCTGAACTGGGTTATTATTTGGTTATTAATTGTAATAGGATTTCACATTAGTTTGAATTTACACGTAATTTTATTGACGAATTGGGTTTTCAAAATTACTAATACCCGACTATGAGTATGGGGTGAATTATTAGAAAATCTACTGTATATCAGTTTAGGGTCCACAATACTCTCATCGAAAAAGAAACCCAACAAATATGTACTGAAAACGATAAACAACATAATCTAAATCGTGTGATCCTCTTGTAACCATCACATGTTCAATATAGGGCGCCGTGGTACATGTATTACACAATATAAGTAAATAACTTTGGCTTCCCAAAATTGTTTGCTAAATTACGTTTACTAACCAAAGCGTTGCGAAAGCCCCATGTATTCATACTTTTCGGCTTTTTTTTCGCAGTAAACGTTCTTGCTGAAAGTATATTCTGTAAAACACTACACACTTAGTAAATTTGGAATGCGTGATTTTATTTACTATAAATGTAGTTTTGGACAGTAGTTATTGCTTCGGTAACGGCAAACACTTTTTTAGTTTAGATAAGTTACCCGTTTGTATATTTGTCTAATATTTGACGCATGAAAATTCACTTCCCTAGGTAAAGGGGATCTTTAAAATGAAAAAAAAACTCTTTGATTAAACAATTGGAATATTATTGTATTGAGTGGTTTATCCTTAATTAATTTCGACACTGAGTTTTCTTATTAAGGTCTTACAAAAGAAACGCTTCGAACGCAGAAGCTGCATGATTGCCTTTCATTATGCGAAGTTATGATTTAAAGTCAACGTCGCACTCAACGTGCACACTTGTAAACTTATGTGGTTCGTGTTAAATTTCTTTACCTCTTTGTTCTGTTTGCTTGAATTTTATTGTATCGTGTTTTTTTAACCAGGGATGTATGAATACGTAGAAACATTAGGAACTATATCATCATTCAATTTATTATTAGTTTCAGTATTAGTGTTGTAATTAGACCTATATTGTTAGTATTATTGGCTTACTTAAATTACATTAAACTGTGCTACTTTCAGTCGATGCAAGTATATGATTTATTTATGCCCGAGAAGGCATCAGGAATGAAGAGGAGATAGTTGCATTTCATTGTTAGTACTATTTTTATTTTTGTCACTTCTTCACACCATTTCCTGCATGTCATGTTACATGTACCTGATTTTACTTGATCAATATCTTTACATTAGCTTTCCAGAAAATGAATATCGCCATAAAAATAAAATATATACACAATCAAACTCAAACTAGTAATTTGAATCACATTTTGTCGAAATAAACAGGTAGATTCTTTGGTCTATAATACGTAATAGTTTTTGTGATATTTCATTGACTGGTGTATTTTGTTCTTTGTTATAGTTTTGTGTGCCATCCTTACACTTATGAAATTGTTCCTTGGTTGTTGTTGTTTTGTAAAGTGAAAATTGACATAAACGTTCACAACTTTAGTTTTTATATCATTTGATATAGACTGTTACGTTTCCTTCACAAACTGATTGTGATATGTATTTGAAAGAAGCATTGAGATGAGAAAAACGATTTTAAAATAGTCTCTAACAAATGAAATACTTTTCAAATTAATTGATCTGTTGAATGTTTGTTTTTAACGCCAATTTCAACACTCTTGGCTATATAATGGCGTCCAGTTTCTGTTGTTTCAAAACAAAATGGTCCAAAGAACGGCAACCAAAACGTTTATTTTTTGGATCGTTGACAAATAAGCTCAACCATATTGTCCTATGAATAAGAAACACGTACAAATTTTAATTTAATTGACTAGAATTAACATCTTATTTTTCAGTTTAGTTTTTAGTTGTATTAATTATTCTGTAATCACTTATTATATTCACAAGAACATCATCTTTTGTCCACCTGCAATACTCTAACCTATAAAATCAAACTTTGCCTTCATAACATTTCTTGTTTTTTCTTCCCTGGCAGCAACCTCTAATTCTGTGCCACAGTAGTGAAAACTGACATTTATGAGTTGTTCTTTCATTTTATCATTATAATCTGGCGACAGTTGTATAACGAGACTTCCAAGATAACTACAAGAATCGTCCGTCACAAATGTTGGTGACTCGCTAGTTGAAGCGTAAACTTCCAATAGTGCACTATCTGCGCCAATGTATGGTGCGTAATATGCTCTCTCTGGTCTCGGTTTTCCTATTTCAATTTGTTCCCCTTTGTGCAGATGAATATCAAAGATGTCATCGCAAATGTCCATTTCGTTGTACCTACGCCGTTTACTCTCGGGGTGAACTCCCTCAACAAACACTTTGTTCATAACAACTCCGTATGTATATTTACATATTCTTGATGTAATTGCGTTTGGTTCGTGCCCAAATAGAACTGCACCCTTCAGAACAGCTAACGAGCAGTCGTCAGGATTTATTATGCGCATGTGTGGAAAGTTTGAAACTATAGCGTCTTTGATCACATATGAATCAGAATACCCACCCACCAGAAGGATAGTAGTTACACCGGTTACAGGCGACGTGTGAAGTAATTCGTTTAGGTGGTGAACAATAGATGACACTGAATTATCAAACAAAGATTTGAAGGTAGGAGCAAAGACGAAAATCTTATCTCTTTTAAATTCTACGGCATCTTTCATCGCACTTTGTGCATTATGTTCTTGTATTGTAATATTATTTCTGTCTTTGAAAATATCGTATAAGCATGCCGGGCATTTTAAAGCAACGCTGGACGTTTGTACAGGTTCAAAGGTTCTCTTTTTCATTTCAAAGTCTAAGAACAGATCTAGTATTTCGTTTGGATATTTAGAGTTGGCTTCTTCTATAACTTGAGATCCGAAAATGTTCACCAATAGATTTCTAAATTCCATATCAACCGTGGAACCACCCCAACAACCTCCGGAAGCATAATGTACTTCCTGTAATGCGCCATCCTCTTGTATTTCATGTACAGTTACATCAACGGTCCCTCCTGCATTATAATTTATATGGATTTAACGTTCAAATTAAATGTAGAAAAATGACAAATAAAATCTGTAAACACATATATGTAACAATAATGTTAGTGTATTAAAGTAATGTTTATCGGAAATGAAATATTTAAATAATTTGGAGGTATAAGCACTTGTTTGTAACTACCGTGATTTTTTAATTAATCTGACAAACATTACTTACCGATTGAATCTTTTTCGAAGAAGAACATGCCCATTAGTGCTTTTTTTTATCAGTAATGAAAGACGGGCATTTTCATGTCGGCACAATGAGGCGTTCCATTTATATTCAGTAAAAACCGGAACCCTCATTGTGCCGACATGTAAATATCTTTTGATCAACAGTCTTTCGTTAATGTCTGTTTTGTCCACGCATCGTTGTAAATATAACGGAATTTTATAAGACTGTCGTACAAGTGAGAGGTTTAGCGCTATAAAACCAGGTTCAATCCACCATTTTCTACATTTGAAAATGCCTGTACCAAGTCAGGAATATGACAGTTGTTGTCCATTCGTTTGATGTGTTTTGTCATTTGATTTTGCCATGTGATTAGGGACTTTCCGATTGAATTTTCCTCGGAGTTCAGTATTTTTGTGATTTTACTTTTTTCGTTACAGTCATGAATATGAAAATGTGATTGAAATGATTATATTTATCATAGTCACAGGTTCGTCTATCCAAACTCCTAGCTTTGAGCTCTACTGATGAAGGTTTGTCTCGATCAAAATTAAAGACTGGCTCGGAGTCAGAATAATATGCCCCGATAAGGTGACATGTTTTCTGCTCTTTGGTCGGGTTGTTCTCTTTTTGACACATTCCCCGTTTCCATTCTCAATTTAATTTCTGTGGATTGTTTTATTGTGAACAAGCACGTTAACAAATTATGATAAGCGTGTCGGTCTATTAGAAGGCGGGATAATATCTATATTACGTTCTGATAAGTGTGTTTTTATTCCCTCTGGACGTTAAACACATATTTACCATCATGATCATCTGTATTTCCGAAAGTTTTTAACGAAGCAGCTTGATTTAAACGAATGCAAAAAGAAGTTAATTATGTGTAATGTCGACATCGCGCATTAATAAAAAGAGTATTCTCAGTAAGTAATTAAAATTAAATTTCTTTTGTTTTAAAATCGGACATGTTACGTGCAAATTATAAGTCGAGGATTTTTTTTCCGAAGTGTTCTCTGATTGTCATGCTACTCACTGCAACATTCATTTAGGCTCATCATACATGGCGTTGACCAATGTAAAAAAGTTCATACTATACGACCTTTTTTCTAAATATTTATCTAAACGAGGTACATATCTTTTGAGTTATGTTAATGTCACACAGTAGAATAACATACCTCCTAAATCTAAGATAAGGTATTTTGTTCCTTTTTCTAGTGCAGTTGTGGAAATCGTACTTCCGGACGCACTAATGCATTGTGGAATATATCTGCAGTATAAAGCTGCTGCCTCGGGTTCCAATGCTAATGTCAAATTTTCATTCTTGATACCTCCCTATAATATATAAATTACGTCTTTTAAACAATTATTACCTTCTTTTCAGGACTGTGTTCCAGTCTCGAATGTTTATTCGACTGAGGGGATTCAATGGGTGGGTAATGCATGCATACATGTAGCAGGAGAAGGCAACCTGTCTCGCTCCTTTTAGAGTTCATGCGATTCCTTCAGTTTTTGATTGTTACCTTGAATTGTCTCTTCTTTATCAATTTATGAGACTTGAACATGGGTACATGAGTATTGATACAAACGAGAAACTTAATAATAACGCTATAAATATAACTTGATAGGTAAGATATATGACTGTTTGTGCTCTAGTATGGTTTGAATTTGTTTATTGTTTAAGGTTTAAATACAAAAATGTTTAAAAACAGCATTTTGTATGGCGTAAATTTTTTTTTGAAAGGGTAGAACAACGAGAGATGATGCTATAACCATGTGTTAATTAAACAGAAATCTCCCCATTTATGAAATATTCAATTTATTTTTAATATACTAATATAAGATAGGAAATTTATTTTGTGAACGTGTTCAAGAGCCCGAAATAATTAAGAGATATTACAATTGGGTTGCAGACTGCTTTGTTCCATTAGGTGTAAGATTCTTAATTCAGTCAGCTTCAACTTTTCAAAGCACTTCACTACTACTGTCTCTCAAGTTAACCGTGAAATTTGTCAACGTTATATTATTAAAAACTTTTTCTTGTGAAAATATTGCAAACAACGATACCTATTTCTTAACTTCGGTCGAGATAAAACTATTGTCTAAACAATTACAATGATTCTATAAATAGAATATTAGATATTTGTTCTTGTACTAATACAGGAAAGAGAATTTGTACACATCCTTCCTTTTAAACGGAAAGAATAAAGAATTTTTTGTCAAATCGTTTAATCTAATAAGACCAAGCATTAATCAGTTCACTCAATAATCCATTTGGCAGTAAGAAGCTACATCTCACATCACTAAGTTTATTAATTAGTTAAAATTCATAAATAAGAGGGTGAAAGTCACATATATTGATCTGACATTGTGATATTTTAAAACACATCAGTATTCTGCATGTATATTCGCGTACTAGATACCTCCTTAAATGTACGTATTACTAGTATTTCATATGCTTATATAATGAAAATGAAAACGGTATTTCCAACTTCCACATTGCCTAGTGTTATACTGAAATAGTATAGAATACAAGATAAAGTGAAAGTAAAGAAAATCGTCCGCTTATTCACCTGATCTGCTGCTCGCCGCATAAACTGCTTTGCTTTATCATTCCAAATGGCCGGGACAGTAACCACCCATTGTATCATATTTTCTTGAAAGAAAGTTTGATTGTCTCTGCCGCGCAGTCTCTGTAACAAATGGTCTCGTAGATATCCTATTACCAGACCAAATACATCAATAGCTAGCATCTCTTTCCCTGTGACGTCATTAATCAGAGTTTGACTGTTTAAGTTCTATCAAAATATTTTTATCATATATAAATGTTATATAGAAAGCACAGCGACTAATTTTATTTAATTTAATTTAAAATAACTAAGACAACAGTGAATCACTCATCAGACTAGCAATAAAACACAATGTATATATTATGTTGATTCAAAAATAAACTAAAAAAATAGTTTTAATATTTGCACTGATTTTGTTCTGTTTCGTATTTACTTATCAATAAGCTATATATAAGAATAAATTTATTTATGATAGTGGCATATATTGATTGAAACAAGACATTCACATAATATTATATACACAGAAATAACAATCGATATCCAGCACAAAAAAATGACTTATGATACATTGATCCTTAAACCAAAATATATACAAAAATATACTATTTAAACTTGTTGATAATCTCGAAAACTTTTAGCTCAGAATGGGACAAGTCACATGAAAAAAAAATATATCTAAAATGAATAAATATATATATATCAACTGTAAAATATTATAACATGAGCACATGCAATTGGGTAAAAATCTGATCAATTAAAGCATTAAAAATTCATTACACCAAAATATTACTGTAAAAATAATGTTCTACGCAAATAAAATTTATGTAAAAATTTGCAAAAATGATACTGGATACAGTTCATTATTTCAATAATGTTTCTGTTTATATCAAGATCTTGAGTCCTCGATTAGTTTTGAGCATTCATTAAAGAGATTGTATCGCAGATCGTCATATAATGAGCATTCCATTAGAAAGTGTTTTTCTGTTTCCACGCTGTTGGATTCGCACAACACACATATGCTGTGTTCAATGGGCGTAGGCGGCCTGGAGTATCTTCCTGTCTCGCATGCAAGTAGAAGTGAACCGAAGCGAAACAGAGCCATGGTACGTCGCTCGGTTTTGAAAATGTTCAGACGGACGTAACGTTCGGTTTTCACACATTGTGTTTGTATTGCCTATAAATACGTAATTTGTTTCCGTTCGGGGGGTTACGTCGATCATTGAAAACATCCCCATGCCATTCCGTGTTATCTAATACGGTTAGTTTTTCGCAAATTGTACGCATCACAGTTTTTGTAGAGAAAGATAAATTATACACAAGATCTTTCACATTTAACAAATTAACAGTTTTTTCTACTTGGAAAGCCCAGCCTTTTCTATACCTTGATGTCCATTTAAGTATGCTATACAAATGAAAGTTGTTTACTTGTTTTGGTTCTTGACACAATGGATAAGAATTTTATCAGTTTTCACCAACAAAAAACATAGTTGACAGACTGATATACTAAGTTTACGTCGCTGATAATGTTGCATATATGCACAAGCCTTTTTGATAGCTACATTAAATTGATTGAAAAAAAGAGATAAATTTTAACCTTTTTGTTTGCATTAATCGTTTTTCAAATTGAGATTATAAATCAATATTATTGCATTGATAACTATTATTGAGAGAGTACATTTTTAACACTACTTTAGAAAATAACGTTTTTCCTAACAAAAACAAACAAGAAGATTCATTGGTATGCTTGTTAACAAGAGAAAAAATATCAGGGAAAACTTTCAAAGTTAGGTAATGTTATTCAGCATAATGATTTGAATTTATGTTTTAATAAAACTAACGGTACCAATGCTTTTCCACCATATGCGAATAAAGGTTTCTTCGTTGATGCTCGAGGCAAAAATATTTGAAAATCCGAAACTTATTGAAAAGGTGAAAATTAAACGTAGATTAACAAATGCAATTACACTGATATAATGATGTTCAATTACCTCTGTTGTGTAAAGTATCATCTTAAACTTCTGGAAAAACATGTATTCAGTCCCATCGTCAGTTTCCAATATATCCGCATACTTCTTTTGGGCATCGTAACCAAATGCAACCACTTGTCGTTCAGGGCCAATGAGAACGGCCGATGGAGCTTTTGTCGACAATCCACTGTTGTGAGGCCAAAGATTGGTTGATATTTTAAGTTTGTCGGCTTCGTAGTCATGTCGGAAGGAAAATGCATACCCACTAAATGTCGTACCAAAATCAATAGCTGCTACCAATATTTTGTTGTTTTCTGTTGGATTCTTAAAATACAAAGTTTTCATGTATTTAGTACAAAGTTGTTCATTGTGAATATCTTTACAAAACAAAACAAAAAGATACAAAGTCAGTAGTCAAAACTTAAGTCGAAAAAAGACAGATAATACAGAGGCTAAAAAACAAAACAAGACAAACATACAAAAGTCTTCTACATGTTACGCAGCAAACTATCATGCATCACGAACTCTATTTTAACCAAGGGTGAACCCAGGTGTTCCGGAATCAAACAGAGTTCCTGCTTGTCTACATGCAGCTTTTATCATCATTTCATTTCCCTTTTCAGTCGCAAACAAGGATAGGCTACTACCACAAATGAAAACTATCCGTGATAATCTGCGACATAGATATCCCGTAACGATCAACCAAGATATAATGGTGTTCGTACAATTTCGACAAATTGCTTCATTTTTACATCGCAATGACCGTGAGGGCATTCCGATGTATTGCTATCGCCTAGATTTCCATTATGTAACTTTCGTTTTGGGTTTGTAACCGATCTATAAACATGATAAATACGCGGATATTAACGAGTGCAAAATAACATTCCTTATCGTTTGTTATAAATACATCTCTTCAATGAATACTGATAACAATATTTTTGTTTAGAACATAAATTAATAATATGAAAATGTTTTGTCGTTAGATAGATATATATATATATATATATATATATATATATATATATATATATATATATAAGTTATAAATAATTGATATGGTAAAGCATGCGGAAGAATTTATTATATCTCAAGATCATTTTGCGACAATCCCGGCAAGGACCGGTAACTCTGCATGGAAGATTGTTTTTGCTGGAAAATAAGAATGCCTACTCATATCCAATCTTTTAGAAAAATCGAATTTTTACAGAAGAGTGTCCACCATGCACTTGCACTGCACTCTTATTAGAAAAGTAGAATAGAATGATATACAAATGGATGAAAATTATATATACATGTAACTGTTATATTAATATAATATATAACAACAAACCCGTGTATACTGATTTGTATCACTACAATATAATAGTTATTACAGTGAGGTTGAATTTCCTGTCATTTATTCATCATCCACTTACGAACTTGTCTCAGAAAAAAAATATCTCTGTACATTAACCTCAGTTTCAGGTATAGAGATGTGATTTTTTTCTGTGACAAGTGCTTTTGACAATCCACAAGAACTTGCGGTCATCCGATGTTCAGTACTTCAGTACTTTGATTAACATACTTCGTTCCGTTTCTTCTGTTTACTCAGAAACCAAGAGAGATCCCTTTACAGGAAACATAAGCTTTGGAATATAGTACCAAGTAACAGAGGTATTGCTCAAAAAGTAGATCAATAAGTAGATTTAGCTTGGATATTACAACAAACAGTGATAAATCGTTTTAATATACTTTATCAGGTATGTGTTGTATCGAACTCATAATATGATGGTTACAGCGCGATAAATAACAGCATTCGGAATACTTATAATAAGCAATGTATGAATATGTTTAATTCAAGCTATTTTCAACATAAAATTAATATAGGTGTTTTTGATACCAAGGTTCATTTGATAGAGTTTTTCATAAATGTAAAAAAAAAATGCATGCATAAAAAATACCAATAATCTAGGAAAACACAAAGTTGAAAGCAAAGATTAGGTAATTATTTTCTGGTTAGCATATGGTATCCGTTATTTTTGTACGATCTCCCATATTATAAGTAAACACGTATTAAAATGTCAAAACTCAGAAGCGCTATCTATACTACTAAAATAACGAGGTCCAATTTGTTAGCCGGCATGACATAAAAACGACAAATCAAAGAATTCAACTTTATATATAACTAATATAGGACAATGATTTTGATTAAAAATTACACCATTCCAGGCCCTTTTGTTTTCCACACATAATTAATATAATTTACCAATAATCAACAAGTTCCGGGTCGAATCCGATACCGATACCAATAGTATATGTCACATGTTACCTGTTACTTAAACCTGTACGTTCCACCTCTGTCAGGCGCTCCAACAAATGGTGTATTTGGGATTTGCTATATACACGGGTCATAATCAAACCCGAAATTCGTCATTATACAGGGATTGACACTACTTAATTCAATCATTGACCAAAAAATATATCTACAAGTAGTTTCTAGTTGTAGTAAGAAAACCAGGACGGATTCAAACAGAAATATTTTGAAAGCAGAGAAAACTGTGCACCTTATAATCAGCATGATTTTATCAAATGACAAAACGAATACTAAAAAACCAGGCTGAAAATAAGGCGTAGGAATTTAATTCAGTCACAGACCCGCGATGCCGCGGGTGTGTTGTAGTATCCTTTATTATATACTTAGTAGTAAATACAGATAAATTGTATGTGTAATACAATCATTGGCAAGCGTGCTGTATCAGCCACCCGTGATGATATCGATATCAGCACGGTTGCAAAGGCTTTATCACACCTTTAATCTATATGACGTCACGTCATCGATTGCAGTCACTGTTGCAAAGGCTTTATCAAACCCCTAATCTGTATGACGTCATGTCAAACCTCTAATCTGTATGACGTCATTTCAACCCCCCTCATCTGTATGACGTCAAAAAAAATATGCATGACGTCATGTCACATTAAACACATCTACGTGAGGTATATGTATATAATAAAGTGTATATGATATGGCTTTTTCAATATCACACACCGTATCAACCCTCAACCAATATAATCCCTCGAGCAGAGCTCTTGGGATTATATTGGTGTCTTGGGTTGATACGGATGTGATATTGAAAAAGCCATATGATATTCTCTATTTATTATATACTTAGTAGTAAATACAGATAAATTGTATGTGTAATACAATCATTGGCAAGCGTACTGTATCAGCCACCCGTGATGATATCGATATCAGCACGGTTGCAAAGGCTTTATCAAACCCCCAATCTGTATGACGTCATGTCAAACCTATAATCTGTATGACGTCATTTCAAACCTTTTTATCTGTATGACGTCATGTCACATAAAAAAAACATCTACGTGAGGTACATACAGTTGGAAAGCAGGTCACGGTTTGACCCCAAGTCTATCAGCAACAATAGAGTCACGTGACCGTGAAAATTCAGTAAAACTACGGATGAGACAAACCTCACTTTTACTCACTAAAATACCACTGTCATAGTAAAAACTTATTGATCAAAATAATCTTGAATATTCATAGTTTTAACTCGTCAAAACTTACACATCAACTCAAAGTCCTTTATTCTTTATTTTATCTTCAAACTTGAAGTTTGTGTGAAAATTGTCAAGGCTCCTGATCGAAAAATCTAAATATTTTCAAGGAAACTAAAAATGATGGGCTGAATTTAAATTTAATAAAGCATCCCATTAAGACAAACACTCGATATGAATATCTAGGCAATACAGTTTTGGATACGCAAACGTCAAGTTATGTTCAACACGAAGCGGTGGTTTTTTTGCCGATTTGTGCAAGTGGTTATCTCCCCTTGATATCACCAGTCAAAAATAAAAACCCACCAAAATGAATAAAAAGGAGTTTATTTTACAAAAATCAAGAAGAAATTAAAAGAAAGTCGATTAACAACTATGTTATTATAATATTAAGAAGAGATACTTCTCTACTTTTCAGAGAAGGATTACAGGTAAAAATTAAAAGACATAAAATTGTTAAAAATTATATCTAGAAACCTGAATTGATATATAAATTAGCCCTGGCTGATGAAATTTACTTTCAGTTTATAATTTTTATAATGGGATATGGGATCACTCCTAATGTAACTACTTCTAACAATGTTTAATTCAATAAAACATACTGTATACAATTTAAATAATCTTTCTGAAAAAAATAGTACTGACCATTTATATTTTATATTTTAATAAAGTGGGACCAAGAGTCACAATTTAATTTCTTCAAAGTAAAAAAGCCTTTTAACTCAAGCCTATGTTTCTTAGTTGAACAGTACAGTACTGCCTAAAAAATATCATACAGAAAAAGGATAAGTTTACCAAAAAAATGACAAAAATTTCTGTAAAATAAATAATGCTTAAAATTATAAGTGAAAGTGACATAATTTTAAATTTTAAAATCATTATTATGTAAAATTCAGTAGCCCTTGTCCAATTTCTCAGGGTATTTTATAGTCCAAATAATTATGACGTCTTGGAAGGCTGTTTTAAACTTTTGCATTTTATAGATTATGAAAGTAAACATTTTGAAAAAAAATTGAGGCTTCTTCTCTTCAGGTTGCTGTATCTGCTGCTTTACATATTTATTAACAAAGTATTGTATATTTTACCTGAATAATTGGATATTAATCTCAGAAATGAAAGTTGGTATGACAAATCTTGGGCATTTTACTTTAATATTGATCCATGATGATTAAATTTGACAAGATTTTGCCATTTGAATAAATTCAATTTTGCATGTTTGTAATCACACATCTCTATGAATTAATTTCTTGTTTGACTTGAAAAGCTAGTGTTTGCTCTTATTAATGTAGCTTACTTAGTAAAGAGATAATTGATAAGCAAGGTTTTTAACTTATAAAATATAAATATAATTAACTGACCTTCATTTCCTTTTTTCATATGTTTTTTCCTCCAGAAATTTTCTTTGCAATGCATTTTCTATTGCTATTTTTGTGCTTTTGTTTATCCATAGGCCATCATTAATTTGACATATTTGCTTCCAGTATAAATGAAATTTTCTTAGACCTATAGTTTCAAACGCCATAAAGAAGAACTTTGTTTGTTGTTTCACTTGTCCAATGTGTAAATTTTCACTATGCACATGACCCTGACACATATTTTGTAAACGTTATATATGACGTATGTTGAAAAAGAAAACAATGGCACCGTTAATTTGTGTAGGGGATCAAAAAGGGGTTTAATTACTTTAAAATGGAGATATCGTATGGAATTGTGAAAAACAATAATTTTTAATCACAATTTCATTCATATCTATAATAAAATCAGTATTTTAGAGTACTTTGGAAACAGGTACAATGAAAAGAAGTTGAACTTTACTGTTTTGAAGTAGAAACGCAGCCAAAACAAAACCAGGTACAAACTGACATGACTGGTGGTCACCAAAATTGATGTATAATAGTAAAAAATGATGGCTTCATAATTGTGTAGAAATTTGAAATAGGTTACCCGGTTTCATTTAAGATTTTTAACGTTCTATTCCGTATTTGGATACGCAAACGTCAAGTTATATAAATTCGATGATTTTGGCGAACAAAAAAGATGGCTGATCATTTTTAGAACGAACAGGATAAAGTAACAGCAAATAAAAGTTATTTTCGACAATGTTTCAATGTCGTATTGAAACTATATTGTTCACCAAATCTACAAACTTTAAAAATCAATTATAATAAAAGCATGACAAGTTGAAAAAAATAGTTTAAACGTCGATTTTTTAGCCGATTTATTTCGCGGACTTTTTGACGTCACCGACGACTGTAGCGCCACCTAATTAATTCCCCCTGCTATTGTTGCTGATAGAGCTTGACGACAACGGACGTTTCCAAGGACTTGCTTTCCAACTGCATATGTATATAATAAAGTGTATATGATATGGATTTTTTCAATATCACACACCGTATCAACCCTGAACCAATATAATCCCTCGAGCAGAGCTCTTGGGATTATATTGGCCGGTGTCTCGGGTTGATACGGATGTGGTATTGTAAAAGCCATATGATATTCTCTATTTATCAAACAGCTTGCAGGAATATATTGTATTTATTTAACCTTTATTTCATTGCACTACTTCAAATGTTGTCAGGTAAAAAGATAAGATAAGAAGTGGTGTAAATTGCGTACAAGTACAACCGCATTCCCATTTATTCTGTACAATTACAAGACGAATAATTCTTAATCATTTAAATATAAATTTAAAAAACGAAGATGGGTATGATTACCAATGAGACAACTTTCCAACAAACCCCATATGACGTAGAATGCTGCTTTTACAAACAAAATACCTACTTTGTTATGACAACTAATCTGCATACCACGTTACTGTGAAATTTAATCTTAGTTAGATTATAAGAATCAAAAGTAAGGCACGCTATTGAGAAAGTAAGCATTTTCTTGGTAATTCACTGTGACATAGTGTTGTTGAGATGATACATAACTTTAGTACCTGTTCCTGGGCGAACATCGATGGTCTGTTCCTCTGGACATGGCGAACTGATTGTCTACCGTTTGATATCTGAAAACACACGAGAATTAAACTGTTGTCAGGACATAAACTTTAAAACTGAAGATTTTCAAAAGAAACGATAAAGGTTAACGAACTAAAGTTTATATCATTAAATGTGTGCGCACGATACAAGTTTCTTGAGAAACCGCCATGTGATACGCTCGACGTCTGGGAGGCCAATATATCAATTAATTTTGATAAAATTTTAACAAACAAAGAGGGCCAAAACCTTCTTATTGTGAATACACAGAGTATATGGTTAGAAAGTATCCACTGTACTGCGAATTTAACTTGAATCTGCGATTTCCTATTTGTATACTTTCTTCATCATTTGAACAGTTTTATCACATACAATTACACTTGTAGAGCAGGCATACCTGTGGTATATTTGGATCCCTTTCCGAATATGGCGGTGGAGCTGATGCCATGATAGATTGACCATCTTGCTGTAGGACTGGATATAACTGGTTTGGTTCTATACCTTGTGGATTTGTCTGGAATATACCCCAAAAAAAGAAAAGACTATTATTCATTCACTTTCTTACTTTGTGTATCAGTATACTACATGTAAACGATTAAACATTTTACTGAATAAAACTGACAAGTAATTAGATTGCATTTTCTTTATAAAAGAAAGAACGAATTATTAATAAACATTTAACTTTATGTCATAAGGATAAGGTCCTTCCTCTACCAATACTTTATCTCTTCCTGAACATTTAATTTAGGTCAATTTTGTTTCATTAGCACTAAAAACCACACTTACGGTATGTCCACTTTGGTTATAATAAGGTGTTCGTCTACTTCCTTGTAAACAATTTCCCATTGTCAATCTGTTGTATAAAAAAATAATATACATATTTTGTGTAATAGTATCCATAATATAAAATGTTATCCGTTTTTTACTTCATCCTACTTCTCTTTCTTCTTCTTGTTCGTGTTTCTCTTCAGACTTATTATTTCGAAATAACTTGTGAATCATTGTCTTGGTATATATTTTCCATTCTGGTAAAAATGCATATCATTTATATGACCTTCATTGTTAAAGTCAAATGGAACGAGTTTCTTGTCATTCTAATGGTTAGGAAACTAATGAATGTTTTTATTCAAAACTGAAATTTCTTTGCACGTTTTTTTTTCTCATTTATTACGAATTTATAAATTAAAGCGACAAACAATATTTCATTCGGTGATCGTTTGTTTAAAACTTTGACTGCTAATTGAATGTAGTTTTATTGCCGAGGTTTACCGATCGTGACCTTGATACGCAATTAACACAGAAACATGAAGCACTTGAAAATCAGTAAGATGAAGTACTATCTACCTTCCACGTGTTAACCTATTCTTTCATCACGGTTTAACCTCGCAGTTGCGTTGTGGGTGGTTGGCGAAGTTCCAAAGAGAGTGTCAATGTTAAGTTTACTACAAACGGAAAAGCTGTCGGCGAATAAGGTTACAGAAGGACAATATTTCAAAAGCTGTACATTTATGAAGATTTGGATAAACTAAAGGGTTTTCTTTCAAAAGAAAGTCCCTATTCACGTGTTTTATAGTAAAACTGTATACTAAGTATATAAATCGAATCCATGTTTTGTTATGTATCATATGACTTTAAAATACTAATTTAAGGTTACATAAAACCGGCATGTGTCATAGTATATATTTCCATGTCGAGAACAACAACTAAATTAAATTCTTTAAAAGAATTAAGAATATACAAAGGTGGTACTGTCATTGTTATCAACCACTTAAAATACTTTAGATTATGTAATCAAATCCCGTCAATTGTCTATGCATGTAAATACTCCAATTCATAAGGATATTTCGTCTAAAATATATTTTAGAAATCGGAGTAGAGCCAGTAAACCAAATAAACGACCCTGTAAAGGTTAAGTTTTTAAACTTCAATTGTTTGAGCAAATCTAACGTGTTTGTATGGCTAAAAGTATTATTTTTTAAACTATATTAAGAAAATTTGTATAACTGCTTCATATATTATAAATATTTAAGCCTGCAATAGGAGTGCATTTTATTTTAGTCCATTTTTCCAGAAATATGTCACCTTTTTTTTACCTTTTTTCATGATTTCATATGTGGCGCCCTCAATCCCTTGCCCATTGGAATTATGGTTGAAAAGTAAAAAATATGGTGTATAACAAATATTTCAGCAAAAATATTTGTGGGCGAAGGATGGCGCCACTGTTAACTTTTCAGAAAACTCTTGAGTTACTCATTAATTTTGCCAAATTATGCAAAGAATCAGGTTTTTACGCAATTCACCTACATTTATGACGTCACAAATACATCCCTGATGACGCAATTGGTGCAAATCTTCATTAACTGACACAAATTGGACATTTCAGTATCTGTTTTCATCAAATTTTCACAACATATTTGTAATTAAAAAATCAGATTTTTAAGGCCATAATTATGAGTTAGTGAACCAACTGATATGTACCAGCAGTAAAGAAAAAGTTATTTGAAATTAATTTCTTGAAACAAACTGTTAGATCTTTTTTTCTTATTCGTGTAAATGTTTTGAAAAATGTATGATTTGATCGTGTTTTTCCCAGTAGTATTAGAATTCAAATCAAAGAACTGTTTTTGAAGATATTCGGGAATCAGTATTAAAATACTGTTATCTCCTTTAAAATACCATTTTTTATATTTATTAAAAAGAGATAAAAGCCTGTTCATTTTTTCTATGTAATCAAATAAGGTTGATGTTATACCCATGTATTAAAAGTAATACTTCATATTGCTTTTTAAGGATTCCTACTGTTTCGCTCTGCATAAGTATATCGGTTGATGAAAGCAAATATAAATTAATATCAACTGGCCTAAAAAAATAATGCGACTGGGATTTAAAGTGCTCTCAATTAAACCCTCTTTACTTCGAGTCCGGATGATGAGTAAACAAAATTGAACACAAAATATTTAGCTAGATGTGTATAGCCGACACAAATGCCCCAACTTGTGGAATGATAGCTAACAATTATACGTAACATTAACAAACAAACAATCAGCATGTCTAAATGCATAACGACGTAAAAATCAGGACATTTGTTTCGAAAGAACTTAAGTTAAGGGCGGACATCGGCTTTGACGTTTTGAAGTAGATAAAGTAAACCCATAAACAAACAAAAAGAAGGGAATAAAATTGAGAATGGAAATGGGGAATATGTCAAAGAGACAACAACCCGACCAAAGAGCAGACAACAGCCGAAGGCCACCAATGGGTCTTCAACGCAGCGATTCTAGTTGATATGCTTACATATGTTACATTGCATTAAATGTTAAGTAGTTAAGTGCACAAAGGCATTTAACCTTTATGTACTGCATGACAAAGACATGATACATATATTCTGATAAGGTACTAAACAGATATTAATCATACTTACTGATGTACGAAAGCTTAATCCTTAGCATTTTAAAATGAAGAGCATATTGAACAGTAAAAACATCAAGCATGTCTTACTACTTATCACATCCAACGCGATGCATTTATTTACGTTTTAGAAAGAAACTCAATAGCAACATTTTACCTGTGATTGTCATTTATCAATATTTAAAACAGGTCACGATAAGATTTAGATTTTCCGAAAACCTATATCGACATTCGTGACTTCATATTGAAAATACATACTTGGCTTACAGGTACATGTTTAATAGATTGCCTTCCCATTTTTATTCGTATAGCTAACTTGTGCCTGCCCCATGCAAGTCAGTAGCCTGTGATTCATTGGTTGTTTGTTCCTGTTTATAATATTTGTTTTTCGTTTATTGTTTTGTTTATAAATCAGGTCGTTAGTTTTCAAGTTTAAATGTTTTACATTTGTCATTTCGGGGCCTTTTATAGCTTGCTTTGCAGTATTGGTTTAATTTGCTCATTGTTGAAGGACGTTTGGTGACCTATCGTTGTTAACTTCAACGTCGTTTGGTCTCTGGTTGAGAGTTTTCTCATTGGCATTCATACCACATCTTCTTATTTTTATATTTGCACTATGTGTCGTATGAGCTATTGCTCTCTGACCTATTACAATCACATGGCGTCTTTCGTCAAATTATTTTCTAAATTTATTATATCTTCTGATACTACCAAATAAATGTCTTTGGTTCGTTAGGTCACATTGTAACATCAATTCGTTTTCAGCAAAACGAGATATCAAACAATCAATTGACTCCTTCCTTACATGAGTTGTTGACAAATAAATGATTTTTAGGGAAATTTTTTAATTAACACTTTTGCTTAGCTATTACAAATTCAAATAATACAGAAGACATTTTTGTTGGATTAATTCTCTGTGAAATACTGGTTATTTCAAGCATTACTGTCAAGTTTTGTCATAATCAGTTTAATAGTTTGAGAGAAATTTAATGTAACGTTATACGACATCTACAGTGATTTGAGCACAATTTCTTCAAAAAATCCAAATCATGCCGCATCATGATAGAATATAGTGCGGATCAATAATATCACCAATAAATGATCCAATATTCATCTTATCTGCATAAAAACAGTTGAATATGATACAAAAGATGACTCTAAGATGATTAAAACCACTAATGTACCTCTTTGTCTTTATTATAAGGTCCCTTTTGGTCCATTATACCTATCATTCCCTCAGAATGTTTACTTTTTAGGCTAATAAATCATAACTTTGGGGTAACTATCACACATTTATGCAAGCAATGTGATAATAAATGAGTAATTAAAGTGTTCAAGCTGAATGAACTATCCATATAAAAGTTTACTGACTCCATGGAGGTTTCAATAAGTCAAAATGGTTCCCTTTTGGTAAATAATTTGTTGTTACTGCTTCAAAAAACATTTCATTTACTTATTACTGTATATTTCTTAAAGAATTACTTGGGAAACAGTTTTCTTGTATCGCCCAATATAGGAAGTAAGGAGAAAAAGCTCCCGTAAACACTGAGTAGGGCTTGCTCTGCCTACTCATATTCATGGTATAGCCCTATTCCAAGGCAATTTCCCCTAAAATGTGTTTTTGGGACTCAATCCACTCAGAATATTTCAAGTTTGCTATATTTGAGAAAAATAGCATGAAATTTAAAAACAAATGAGAGTACATTCAAGGTCAAAGGTGCATATGCATCTTCCCATTTAGGAGTAACACCACCATTGATTTTCCCCTATTACACAAATGTAGTCTTTGTTAAATTGGCACTTTTCAAAAAATTTTGCAGAATTTATATTTGTTTCAAATAAAGAAATAATTGGCATGAGTAAAATTTTATCCTGTCCAGTACTACCGTGAAAATGTCACATAACATTTCATTGCAAAAAAGATAATAACCATCACCGGAAGTATACCAATCAAATGTTAACCCCTTTTTTCCTGTTAAGCAATGGTAACCATGTCACCTGAAGTTTCCAAAATATTTTATAGAAACAGCAAGTAAAAAAAGACTGGTGCTTTTAAACACCCAATATATGTATTTATGACTCAGAAATTTGTTTCTGTAATGAAATGCAGGGTTAATTTCCTACAACTGTCAAAATCAAGGGAATATTTTTTTTCTACCCTTTTTCGTATGAAACCGGATGTGACGTACTATGATTTGGTGGTATTACACCTACAGGAAATAAACAGAAACCATAGACTGCAAACGGTTTCATCTTAAAGTGAGAGAATCTGCCAAGAGAGCAATCAAAAATCAAGTCGAATACAAACAGACAATATCAGGACAAAAAGGAAAAACGACGAAAAAAACAAACAACTGTTACAGTTAATAAACTAGTACAGAGAAAACATTAGATTGAACAACACAAACCCCACTAAAAACGGGGGTTAATTTTACTCAGATGTTACGGAAGAAAATGCAGTTCTTTCTCCCATAGTGGCATCATCAGTTACCATGGAAAAGTATGCAGTTCTTTCTCCTATAGTGGCATCCTCAGTTGTCCCGGAAGTGTATACAGTTCTTGCTCCACTAGTAGCATTGCATTCATTGTGTTACTCACAGCAAGTTACAAAACGCTGATAAGTCGCATTCGGTTATGTCACAATCGAACAAAATAGGAAGGTGGTCATCTTTGACACATATATTCCATAACGGTCACCCAAATGATTGTGTCTGTAAGATTTTTAAAGTAATTACTTTAATTTTACAATTTTGGACCCTTGGTTCAATAGCTTCCTTGCAAACAGCAATACTCTATCAATGAAATCATGATAGGAAGTGTAAGCTCGGGAATTTCTTAACAAAAGGGAAATATGCAGACGCCGCTTGAATGTTCCTATATTGCACGCGAATGTTAACAATGGAGACAATTAAAATTATCTCTTCTGTTGTAAGTTCAGTTCTCAGACGACCCTCATTGTCAATTTCTAGATGTAAGTCAGGATATGAACAACTATATCTGTGGTTGATGCGATCAACATAGTCACCAAACATAGATTCATATTCAGTGAATGGACAACATCTATATTGTGGAACGTGAAGTTAAACGTTAATGCCAGGTTCTTTTCATTTCTCTTAAGGAACTCCTGTGTGAAGTCTGCCTCGTGATATTAAGCATATGTCAGCAAGAAGAGAAGCACAGTTGGTTCCCGTGGGAATGGCGATTGTTTCATCTTCAAAAATGCCAGTTTGACTGACACAAACTGTTCACTTCTAACAAGAATAAATGCTCTTCATAAAGGAGACGGTGAAACATCAACCATCAACGAAACGGCATTAATAACCAAAAGACATTAAAAGGTCAACATACACTTTATGCAATATGCCAAACTCCAAATTAATAGAACAAAATGTGAATAAATTAAATAGAAACTTTCAGAGATCTATCATCAATTATAAATTTTCAAAATAACAAAGGTAGTTAGATGTGACATGGACTGACACCTGAATATTTAGCGTGGTTTTTTAACTGGTATTTTAACTCTAAACCCCTTTCTTTTTTAATCTCGATCAGCGCAGTAATAAATGTATACTAATGGCACTCTACTCCAAAACAACGGTATAATAGTAAACAAAACATGGTACAAATTAGTCCAACTGTGTTTCAGACAAATTAATGATCATCGTAGATTCAAATATCTTGTTTCAAAATAAGAGTGACAAACAAAGATAAATATTGTGTTTTATGAAGGAACAATCATACTTTGTAATAAACCGCTTTGGTTTACACAAATAGTTCCTTGAAACTACCATCATCAAAACGTTTGTTATTGTTACATATTTGTAACGTTAAGTGGACATGTTTTTAACAGACATTCGGCATTTCTATCGGAACCAACCTCTTCTAGCTGACTTGTTTCTAAATGAGACAGGCTTCTCGTGAAAATGGAAAGAGAGCTAGCATTATCTTTCATTTCTTCCCTTTTAACTTTTAACACGTCAGGGGGATAACTTTTCTTATGCAATTCCTTGACGTTTTGAAATAGGTAAAGTAAATCCATAAACCAACAAAAATCCGTGTGTGTTTCTTACCTTAATCACTTGCTACAAGTAATGTTGATAAGTAAAAGGAGTGTGCACTTAAGATTGTTTTGCCTATTCTGATTTTGTCTTTTAGGTTTTGATGCACCAATACGTTTTGTCTGTATTGTTTTCCAAACTCCAGGTTCCGATTGTTCTTGATGTAGGTGAAGTCAGAGTCAAATGTCATGCACATTGTATCGGTATCACATATTTATGCAACCGAGTTTATATATATATATATACCACACTGAAATATGTTGTATGTTTGCTTCTTTGAATATGAAATATACGTCCAATCATTCCGATATAAAATTAAAAGTGCAAAATAAAGGATTGGTTTTAAGGTGAATTATATATAGACATGAACACGTATAGTATTACATAAAAAGGTACAGATAAAGGTTTTGATAATTTAATTATGTAAAAATCGATTATTATTAAAAATCTTATATACCACGCTATCATGAATCAGATGGTTAACCCTCATATTCAACTTTACCAAAACACATGAATGGATAGGGCAACAAAGTAACAAACATAGTCAAAGAGCCATTAAATAGAACTCCGACAGTCACGAACATTCATTAAAACAGGTCAAAAACCGGGTAGTTTCTTCTATCATTCTCACAAAAATTGTCAGACATTGCTTATAACGATAGAAGACTTTTAAATATATGCAAAAAAATGACAATTTAAAATCATTAATATCATTTACATCATTGTATTCTACGTAAACATAGGACTACTCGTGAAATGACGCAATGTTCGTTGTTTTGACATGATAAATACATGGAACTACACATCCATACCGTGATACAAGTAGGGCTCAATTTTTAGAATAAATCGTACGAGATCGTGAACATACAAATAAGAGTTTGAAACAAACATGCAGGGCTGCTGTTTCAATATATAAACAGTAACAAAACATTAAGATCTTTTACACAGATATTTAGTGCAGAGTGGTCCGGGAGATTTTCTCAACGGAAGATTGGTATAATTCAACAATTGAATTTCATCTTATTTAGTAATGCCATGACTTTTTAGTATTGAACTTTTCAGTAATGATTCATGTTTTACAGAGATTGTTGGGTTGTTAAAAAGGATTTATTGTTCAA